CCCATCACCTGGATCCTAGGTCGACGCTCAGCCGCTTAGCCACGCCCAGCCGGGCTACATTGGTCAGATTTTGCAGTGGCCATCCTTTAATTGTGATAGTATAGTAAGTCGGGCAAAATTACTTGAAGCAGGTGCTTGTGAAGTCATCTCCAATTCCTATTTATATATGAAGGTTATTTTTTCCCTTATTAAACTATCACAAAAACGACACTTAAGCAGCTTTTCTTAATTAAAATCAACAAAACTTTACATATTGTCAAGTCTTTAGATAACTTCTCTAAACCTTTGTTTTGTTATTGGTAAAAATATGTATAATATTACTTCCTTCATAAGATGGTTGTAGTGCTTAACTGAAATAATGCATAAAAAAGTTGAGCACATTCTTTGTCCTTTTAATGATTGTCATTCAATAATGTGCATCATTATTTTAACAAATATTATATATATGTTTTAAATATGTTTTATTGATTTTTAGAGAGAGAGGAACAGAAAGGGATAGAGAGATAAAAACATTGACAAGAGAGAAACATCATGGATCGGCTGCCTCCTGCACGCCTCCTACTGGGATCTAGCTTGCAACCCGGGCATGGGTCCACATTCAACCACTGAACCACACCAGCCGGGCAACAAATATACTTTAAAATATTAAATTGTTTAGTTATATATGAGAAATTGTGTTGGCTTAAAAAAATCTATAGGAGAAACTTAAAATAGGTTCAGCAGCTAACTTGTTCTTCTACCTTTTTTCTTCTATAGACTGAAAAGGCCTCTTTTATTTTTTCAGTTCCTACATTATTTCTGAACTTAGAATGACTTAGTCCAGAGGGGAATTAATCTTGAGAGATGACTACTGTCAGTGACTAGGTGGGTCTCTTCCAATTAGAATTCATTAGCATGCCAAGCAAACCCAATTAGATGAAATTGGATAAACATGCAAGAATAAAGTCCTGTGCTTCAGATCAGAAAAGTAGATGAGCCCTCACTTGGTGGTGGTTTGAGTGAATGATCTGGGGGATTTTACCTAATTACAAGTTTAGCATAAGCCATTATTCCATATGTCCATCTCTTTTAAAAAAGAGGAAAGAATTTCACATCTAGAACATCACTTCTGAGCTCCATATTTTAAGAGAGAGAGCGAGCAATAAAACCAGAATAGTCACAAAGACAGGAATAAAAGAAGACTGCAGGGATACTGGGGGTCTGGACCCAGCTGAGGAACTATTACATAGAAGGTAAAATAGAAGTACTTTAGGTGTCCTCGAACCAATCCTTAGTTCTGCAATGTCTGCAGTACAAGAAAATAAGTGAGGATGTAATGAATAACACGATGGCTATAGCTAACACTACTACAGGTATGCTCAAAAACTGCCAAGAGTAGATCCCAGAAGTTCTCATCACAAGGAAAAATATTTAGTTTCCCTTATTTTCCTTCTTGTATCTGTATGAAACGATGGATGTTAACTAAACTTATTGTAGTTATCGTTTCGCAGCATAGTAAGTGGAGTTAGGCTGCACACCTTAAACTTAAACAATGCTGTATGTCGGTTATATCCCAATAAAACAAAGAAAAAAATAAAGAGAAAGAGTTGGAAAGCATTAAGAAAAATAGCCATTTTATCAACATTATAAAACCATTCCGGAGGTAGATTGTGAAAAAAATCTATTCTGAAAAAAATGCAAAAGTCTTGATTTTTTTCCGTCTGGATGTCTCGTCCCATTTCTCAGTTTGTAGTGTAAGAAGAAACATTTGTGAAAATACCCATGGTCCTGCATCTTCAATGTGCGGAGGGTGTTAGATCTTCCCTCCCCACGTTGCTCACTCAGGAAAGGGTCTGGATGCTTTAACTTGGAGCATTTGTTTTTGAGTGGTAGTGTCGGGTGACTTCAGATCCACACAAAAAAATTATTTACCGGCTCTTTTCCTCTCACTTCTTTTTGCTGCTCAGCTTGTCCTTCCTACAGAGAGGTAGGTAAGCAGATTGTGGAATGCTGTCTACAGCTTATGGAGTTCTGTTCTGCCACAGATGTACACATCTTCTAGGCAGTCTTTTATGCTGTTGTGTTAAAATCAGTGAAGAACTGTGGCTGTCCCTCTTTGAGTAGAAGCAGCAGGTGCTTTGGGCAGTTATGGGGTGGAGCATTGTTAGTAGCTAGCCCTTCTGTCCGTCACCATCCATCCAGAGGACATCCGAAGATGCCTGTAGATGTCTGCTTCCCCATCCACCCTACCTTCCCTAAAAATGATTAGAGAACTGTTCTGGCTGCTGTATTTTGGTCTTTGGTGACATCCCCATTGCCCCATCTAGTGGCACTGCTTCATGACTTGCTGATGTAATCATTAGTATTTTCTGTACCCTCCCTTGCTCTTTTCATATCCTGTTTCTTCTCATTGATCAGGAGGAAACAGCTGGCTGTGACCAGAACTCTTTTTTTTTTTCTGCATTGTAACATGTGTTATGAAAAACTGATTCTTCTCTTATGTGTTTGGTTTTGTTAAATCCTCAGCTGCTAGTTTCCAAAAGAGGAGTTCTGGAAAGGAGACCTTAAAATAGCTAGTTTACTCTGGGTAGTGTGCACATACACACCAAATAACTCTGAATCCATATCCAAAAATAACAGTTACAGAAACTGTCTATCTGGCATTTTGAAGAGATGAAGAAATCTGTAAGATTATTTCATGCGATCTGGTGGGATCTTTCCTCTAAACTTATGAATAATACTTTCTTGCTATTTATACATGTAGTTTTATTTACATAAGGTAAATTTATTATGAATTGAAGTTTGCTATAAGCCTTTATTTCAATCAGAATATGTAACAATTTAAATTTTAGGTTACAAAATTCTGAAGTTTAATGAGAACACACTCATGTCTACTATGTGATTTTAGCTAAGATGACAAAGGCAGATATCTAATAACCACATGGTTTCTCTTCTGGTAGCATTAAAACCGCAAGTTATATCCTTTCATGTAAATATTTAAAAGTTTCTCCTTTAATGTACTAGTAATTTCTGTCTGCTGTAATCCATCGAAACCTCTTACTCCTGCCACCTGTCTTGATTACTTTGAAAGCTATGATTTAAGTCCTTGTCCTAGTCTAACCATGTCAAGCTTTTACTTAAATTATGGGAAACATAGTTTGATTCACATTAAAAACTTGTCTAACAGTACAAAACAGTAGTTTGTGGTTTTATGTGATTCAGTAACCTCTTAAATATAGGTGGACTTTATTTGATATCCTAGTATATAGATTGACTTCTGTGTGCCTTTTCTTCTCAAATACAGAAATTTCAGATGAGTATATACAGTTAAAAAGTCATTCCCATTGGGAGTAGTATTTTAACAGGAGCTTAAAAGGAAGGGAGGAACCTGTCACTATTGGAAACTGGAGGAAGGCAGATCTGTGTTATGTAGTGGCAGAAAGCTTGGCTACACTATGAATGGTGCTTAGTGATCTGCATGACCTAACTGAGGAGGTTTCCAAACAAAGTGTTGAAGGTACCATGTAGTTTCTTCTTGCTTCTAAGAAATGCAAAACTAGAGAGTAATCAAAGGGAAAGGCTGTTAAGCAAAATGAAACCAGGACCTGATGGTTTGAAAATTCTCAGCCTTTGGAGAGGCAAGAGATGCTAAAATTAAGAAATGGTTTCTGAAGGAAGTTCAGGTCATTGTGAGTTTTTTTTAGCATCAGGTACCACTCCTTCTTATCTGGTTGCAAAATTATGTTTATATGTATAATTATTATTTGATATTAATGTTGAATTGAACCCAGGGTTTACCTTTTATTTCTCCTCATCCCTGCAGTGTAAGCTACTTGAGACTAGGCTGTTTCAGGAAGGTGAGGAACCCTACTAAGGAAGCCTCAGTCTACCCTGCTACACACTATTTAAGTAGATGTTTCCTTCAACAGAAAGCAAATATGTGTGTGAAATTAACACCTCATTTGACAGATGAAGAAATCTGAAATAACTATTTTGTAGTACAGCAGGAAAGAATCCAGATTTCATAATGTCCAACCCAAGGAATATTTTTATTAGAGCAATCCGCTTGATAGAAACCTGAGTGATCATCATCATCAACTGAGGTGCTTTAAAAAGTGTACTTATAGCTCTCAGAATTTTTGAGGGTGATAGTTATGTTCAGAAGCCACTGAACCTTGGTCATATTGCCATTCATTTATTTATTTTGATTGGATAAGTAAATCATGTTTAATAGAATTTTCCATTTGGGGTCATATTGCTAACTGTATCTAATATCTTCATGCTTATTCATAAAGAAGGGAGGGAAGAGGAGGTAGGAGGGAGAAAGAAGGGAAAGGAGGAAGGGAGGAGATGAGTGTGTGTTTAATTTTCCAAGGGGTGGTAGACAACAGCCTTTTACACTTACCGGAGGGTAAATGGCTACTTTTAATAACTAGATTGCAGTATTAGTAATGTCTGATGAAAAGATGTTAAAATGACTTCATGTGGCTCACATCTTATCAACAGAACTTTTATGACATGGTTTAAAAGAGCAAAGGCAAGAAGAAATATTGGATTTGTTTTGTAAAAAGCCCTGAACACTCCAGAGAGCAACATGTTAATGTAATTGAAATGTTCAATGGCAGCTATTCTTGTGCTATAGAAAAGGTATTAAAGGTCAATAATAGTACTGGGTGTAGGGTTGAGAGCCTAGGTAGTGGGATTTTAGAGTGAAATTGGCCATCCCTGGTGTAGCCAGTTCTTCTCTAGATATTAAATGCAATCTGTGGTATCATATATAGAAAATTCTAGTGATTAAATAAATTGAGGATTATTATTACAACAGAAAGTGCATTTATTTTAAAACTCCTAACACATAGGAATTTATTGTCCCATGTTATATTTGTGTTTCCCTTATAGGACAATGTTGCTTCAGTAATTTAAAATGAATCAGAACTCTTCTATACTTTTTTTAGTAAAATTTATTGAAATAATTAATTTATTGAAATTAAATAATTTTATTCTGATGAATTCTTTTGAAAAACAAATATTTTTATATTTGGTTAACATGGCTTCTTATTATAAGGTTTGCTAATGTTAATGTTAATTTCTTACTATTGTCCATTTTACTTTTTGAATCTCTTACAGTGCCTGTTCCAACCAATGTTATAATTGAGGCCTACCACTTTGATACAGTCCTATCTTGGAATTACCCAGTCATGCCGCAGAAGCCTGTTTTTACTGCGCAGGTGAAGAACTATGGGTGAGTGTTACTCTTTTATCGTTTTTATTGTTTTTGTCTATGTCCTTGCATATTCCATAATTCTGTGTTCCCTTCCATTATTATCCTTCCTTCTCATGTGGCAAAACTTCCTGAACTGCTTATAGACTTCTGGAAGTGCTAAGTAAGGATGCACATTCTTTTCAGAATAATTCCTGCCTCTTAGTTCTTCCTGTCAGAATTGAAGTAGACAAGTATCACTACCCAGATTTTTTTTTTTTAAGATTTTTTTTACCTCAAAATTTTTTTTTTTAACCTCACCCAAGGGCATGCTTAGAGAGGGAGGGAAAGAGTGAAAAAGAGAGAGAGAGAAACATTGATCAGTTGCCTTCCGTATGTGCCCTGATGGGGGATCAAACCCACAGCCCAGGTATGTGCCCGAACTGTGAATTGAGCAGGCAACCTTTCGGTGCACAGGACAACACTCAACCAACTGAGCCACTCCAGCCAGGCAGACTTCACAGATTTTAAGGCATGAAATAAAGCTTACAGTTCTGTATTAAAAGTAATGTCTTCTTACTTCCTATAGTGTATATCTATTGTTGAGTAAAAAGATAAAAATTTCAAAAAAATTTTTGACAGGTATTAGGAGTCTTTGTAATGTGTTAGATTCTGTAATTGAATAATGATTCTGTTAACGGAAACTAGAGTTGTTTAAAGAGCAGATTTTTAAAAATTGTATGTGGGATATGGTTTGTACAGATCTTATAATTTGAATCGAGCCTCTTTATTTTAAATGAATTTGTAGTACTTCTGACTAAAGAGTAAGGGCTTCCTTCCTACTTTGTCTGCCTTTTTCATCTTATTCTTTTTCTTTTTCTTTTTTTAAAGAATAGTTTATTGATTTTTTAGAGAGAGAGGAAGGGAGAAGAGAGAAACATTGACATGAGAGCGTCACATCAATCAGCTGCCTCCTGCATGTCCACTACTAGGGGATGAACCTGAAACTCCGGTATGCGCCCTGATTGGAATTGTACCAGCAACCTCTTGGTGCATGGGATGACTCCCTATCAACTGAGCCACACTGGCCAGGGCCATCCTATTCTTTTTCATTTTTAATCCTCACCAAAGGATATTTTTTCCATTGCTCTTCAGAGAGAGCGGAAGGGAGAGAGAGAGAGAGAAACATAGATGTGAGAGAGTCACATTGATTGGTTGCCTCCCACATATGCCCCGACCAGGGCCAGCAATTGAGCCTGCAACCAAGGTACATTCCCTTGGGCGGAATTTAACCTGGGACCCTTGTCTGTGGGCCGACACCCTAACCACTGAGCCAAACCAACTAGGGTAATCCTATTCTTATTTAGCTCTACCAACTCCATGCTGTGAATGAAAAGCAAAGCATGGACACAGATGGTTCAAGTTTATATATTAATAAAAGTCGCCTTTGTGTTTCTTTAATCCTCATTTTAGGAAAGAATGGGTTGATGCCTGCAATACCTCTAATCATCACTGTAATATCTTTGACATGATTAATATGCCAAACGATCCTATCTGGGCAAGAGTTAAAGCTAGACTTGGACAAAAAGAATCAGCCTATGCAGAGTCGGAAGAATTTAATTTGTGCCGCAAAGGTGAGTAGAACGTATACACATCTAAATTTTAAACTTGAGAATATTTACACGTCTTCTATATATATTTGCTTTTATTAGCAGTTGCTAAAAATTATTACAATACCCAAGAAACATTTGGAGCAATTTAGGGAGTTCATGTCTTCCTCTTCTTCCAAGCCCCATAAAATAGGGCTAAGAGGTGCACATCACTTTGCCTCTACTAAATTGTTACATTTCCATTCCATTTAAGTATGTGGATCAGTGCTAACTAGACTCTGCACTGCCCTTCTCCTCCCTATCTTTGTCATTCCTTTGTAAGTTAACATTCACTGAGGACTTTGGCAGTTTCTCATCTTTTTTGTCTACCTTAAATCCTCAAGGCCTGTGGGATTTTTTTGTAATTGTGGGTTTTTTTATATATATTTTCTTTATGTGTTTTCTCTTTTGTTGTTGTTTCTTTATCTTTGTTGTTGAAAATATTACAGATGTCCCCTTTTTACCCCCATTGATCCCCTCCACCCTGCAGCACCCCACCTCCAGGCTTTCCCTAGACCAATGTCTGTGTCCATGGGTTATACTTAATAAACATATAAGTTCTTTGATTAATCTCTCCCCACCCATGGCCCCCTCCCCACCTTCCCTCTGAGATCCCTCAGTCTGTTCCGTGCTTCTATGTCTCTGGATCCATTTTGTTCATCAGTTTATTTTGTTTATTCCACATATAAGTGAGATCATGTGGTACTTGTCTTTCTCCGACTGGCCTGTTTCACTTAGCATAACACTCTCCAGTTTCCTCCATGCTGTCCCAAAGGATAAGAGATCCTTGTTTTTTACAGCTGCATAGTATTCCATGGTGTAAATGTGCCACAGCTTTTTTATTCACTCATCTACTGATGGGCACTTGGGCTGTTTCCAGATCTTAGCTATTGTAAATTGTGCTGCTGTGAACATAGGGGTGCATAAGTTCTTTGTGATTGGTGCTTTGGGTTTCTTAGGATATATTCCTAGAAGTGGGATCACTGGGTCAAAATGGCAGGTCAATTTCTAATTTTTTGAGGACACTCCACACTGTTTTCCATAGTGGCTGCACCAGTCTGCATTCCCACCAGCAATGACTAGGGTTCCCTTTTCTCCACTGTTGATGGTAGCCATTCTGACAGGTGTGAAGTGATACCTCATTGTGGTTTTAATTTGCATCTCTCTGATGATTAGCAACGTTGAACATTTTTTTCATATGTCTCTTAGCCATCTGTATGTCTTTTTTGGAGGAGTGTCTGTTTAGGTCCTTTGCCCATTTTTAAATTGGATTATTTGTCTTCCTTTTGTTAAGTTGTATGAGTTCCTCATATATTTTGGATATTAACCCTTTATCTGATGTGTCGTTGGCAAATGTGTTCTCCCATACAGTGGGCTCTTTTCGTTTTGTTGATGGTTTCTTTTGCTGTGCAAAAGCTTTTTATTTTGATGCAGGCCCATTTGTTTATTTTCTCCTTCATTTGTCTTGCCCTAGGAGATGTATCAGCAAACATATTGCTATGAGAGATGTCTGAGATTTTGCTGCCTACGTTTTCCTCTAGGATTTTTATGGTTTCATGTCTTATATTTAAAGTCTTTTATCCATTTTGAATTTACTTTTGTGTATGGTGTAAATTGGTAGTCTAGTTTCATCTTTTTGCATGTACCCATCCAATTTTCCCAACACCATTTATTGAAGAGACTGTCTTTACTCTGTTGTATGTTCTTGCCTCCTTTGTTGAATATTAATTGACCATAATGGTGTGGGTCAATTTCTGGGTTCTCAGTTCTGTTCCACTGATCTGTATGTCTGTTCTTATGCCAGTACCAGGCTGTTTTGATTACAGTGGCTTTGTAGTATAACTTGATATCTGGTATTGTGATCCCTTCCAACTTTGTTCTTTCTCAAGATGGCTGTGGCTATTCGGGGTGTTATTGGTTCCATATAAATTTTTGAAGTGTCTGTTCTAGATCTGTGAAATACGCTTTTGATATTTTAATAGGGATTGCATTGAATTTATAGATTGCTTTGGGTAGTATAGACATTTTAATGATTTTTTTTTCTACCCTGTCTTCTAATTCACTGATCTGATCCTTAGCTTCCTCTAATCTGCTGTTTATTCCTTCCAATGTATTCTTTATTTTTGCTATGTCATTCATAATTTCCTTCATAGTTTCCGTATCTTTTTTCATGCTGTTGAGCATCCTTAACACTCAGTATTCTGAACTCTATATCTGAGAGATTGCTTATCTCCATTTCACTTAGCTCTTTTTCTGGAGACTTCTTGTTCTTTCATTTGGGGCTTATTTTTTTGGTCTCCTCATTTTGGCTACATTTTTGGGTTTGTTTCTAAGTATTAAGTAGATCTGCTAGGACTCTCAGTTTTTTTGGAGGATCTCTGGTACAGGCCAATGTTAGATGCAGTTTGTGACTGGCCCTGAGTACCCTGGTTGGAGCTATCAATAACCCTAGGCTTGAGGTCTCCACTGCTGGGGCTGGGTGCGTTTGGAGAGGACCAAGATACACACCAAAGTCTGCTTTTCTAAGGGCCCGGTCGCAAAACTGATCAGGCAAAGACTCAAAGCATCCTGAGGTCTGCCTCTGTCTGCAGACTGATTAATCTGATTCTCTTAATGAGCCTCTGGCTGTAGAAGCTCCACAGGGTTGGGCAGCTGGTTGTTATCAGTCTCTTACTGAGCCTCAGGCTGTAGAAACTCCTCTGGGCAGGGCGAGAGGCTCTCCAGCAGGGTGGTCTCTTCCACAGCCCATTCTCTACTTTCCCTTGAAATAGTTTTATTCCCCAGAGGTCATGAAACCTTTGTCATCTGACACCTATACCCTCTGAATGTCAGATTCCTCCGAGATAGGTTTGTCAAAGGCATACTCTATGCCAGAAGGTATGCTAGGCCCTGAGGATACATTGGCGAGTAAAAATAGACCTGCCTGGCACACAGTAGGTGTGCAATAAATATATGAAGAATAGTTAAATGGTCCACTGACAAAGTCCCCAGCATCAAAAGACACATAATAAATATTTGTTGAATGAATGAGTATCTAGTTCTGATTTTCACAGTAAAAATTGAATGTATTTAGCAGACTTTTATAGAGCCTTCATGCCAGACATTCATACGTGTTGTAGATACAAAGAGTTACTGTGAGGGTTTAAAGATAACTAAAATGCTTTTTCTGAAATGGTTTTTGGAAAACCATGGTGTGTTTTTTTAATTCTTCAGAACCAAAGGTAAAGGAAAAATAACTTCTATTATGTCAAGGTTTTTTACCAAGATTCATGACCACCTGTTTTTCTTTAGGACTCGAAATGAATTTTAAACTGTTACAGAGGAGCTTAGATTAGATAAGAATACTTCTTGACTGAGAGGATATATTAAGCATTTCTTTACTAAGTACACTTAGAATATCTTCTTGATCTTTTTAGAATGGTTTAAATGTGGTTATGCTTTAGAACAACAACAAAAAGAGTAGGTTGAATGATTTTGGTAATTTTATACAATGTACTATAAAGTTCCAGAACCAACTAATTCTACTTCTTTTTTGCCTTCCCCCCTGCCCAGGGAAATTTGGACCACCTAAACTGGGTATCAGACATAAGGAAGACAGAATCATTATTGATGTATTTCATCCTTTAATTATTGTAAAGGAAGAAGTGCGGGGAACCATGTATCATGTTAGTGACTGTTACACATTCACGTACAAGGTGTATGTGAGAATAAATGGAAGTCTGGTATGTTTCTATTTCATCTTTTTCAAAATGGGAATTTTTCTGTCACTAACATAAGTTTTTTCCCTATGTAGTGTAAGAAAGTAGAATGCTTATGAATATTCAGGCAAGACTTATGGATCCTAGGTTTTGGTAAGAAAAATGAAATACGTATATAAATGCTATTGAATGGAATTGGTGGCGTAGTTAATCACTAACGCTGGCCAGGTGAACAAGTTTAAGGTTTTTCTTTGTCTTGTATAACAGAATAACCCTAATCTAGGATATTAACCTGTATATTTTCATTTCTTCACTGGTAAGATGAGAATAATTTTAATCTTTCCTTCCTCGTTGGTAGAATGTAAAATTACACAAAGTTCTAATTGGAGTCATTGTTTTTGAGAGAAAAAGCTAACAGTAGTATATTATGGGGATATAATTATATTCTAGCACTGGTGTGCAGACCACGAATTACTCTATTCAGCCCATTTGCCACAGTCCTACCATTCCTTTATTTAACAATATTTGTCAAGCATGTGCTCTGTGCCTTCTAGGCACCAGGAGAGAGCAGTGAACAGTACGAACAAAACTCCAGTGATAAGTGCTATGGAGAAAAAGCAGGGAAGGGGCTTGAACAGTAGAGTAGGGGCAATAGTGACTTTCCATAGGGTGGTCAGAGCAGACCTCACCTGCTGGACAAGGTATTACTGCAGCCAGGGCTGGTGGAGGTGAGGAGTGAGCTCCATGGATAATGATGGGGAGAGTCTTTCAGGCAAAGAGCCTGGCGGAAGGACACCAGGCACATGAAGGAGCAGCAAGGCTGCACAGAGTGCAGAAGCAGATGAGAACAGAGTGATCACTGGGGCCATGTCTCTTAGGGCATTGGAGGGATCTGACATTTTTCTAAGTGAGATGTTGCACCTCTGGAAAAATTTAAATAGAAGAGTGACATCTGATTTAGGTTTTAAAACATCACTGTGGTTGCTAGCAGAGTTGTTTCTAGAGTGCAGATCTAACCATATTACTTCACTGCTTAAAACCCTTTAACAAATCCCCATCAGCAACAAATACCTAAATTCTCTTTCCTGGCCTTCATAATTTGGCCTCTTGCATCCTTTCTAGCACCCTGTCTCCTCATTCCTTCCAACCTTATTTTCATTCATGCTTTGGTAAACTGTTTACTATTCTTAGTTCCTTGTAAATAACACGCTCTTTCATAGAATCCTTTGGCAAATTTCCACTCATTCTTCAGTATTCAAGTGGCGTATCATCTCCCCCTTTGAATTATTTTCTGATACAGTAGACTGTTTCCTCTTCTATGGTCTAGTTATTCCTACTTCCATATAGAAGTCCTCTTGCAGTACTCATTACCTTCTTATGTTTCTTATCTCTCTTCTACACCCTACAGTAAGTTATTTGAGGTTAGGCACCACAGTCCTCCCTTTGAGTTTTCAAGCCCTAGCACAGGTAATACTCTCACTTCAGCTGGTTGAGTGAATGATAAACTCCCAGAGATTGCTTCAATCCCTTCTACATTTTACAGCCAAGAGATTCTACAGCCTTAGCATAATACCTTTATTATTCTTCCTATAAGATGCTTTTATTTCTCACCAGCTAAGTTTCTAGCATTATAGAAAATGGACTAATGAAACATTCCTGCTCTTTGTTTTTAAATTTATAATCCCTATAAAGAATATTTTGATGGATACATCATGCTGAAGTAAGAAATTGACTTATCATTTGATGTCAACACTGTTTTCAGACATGTTCAACAGTCATCACATATATGCTTTCTCCAGATGTTTGGCCAGTGTAAATATGGTGATTTCTTTTTTTTTCCTCCCAGATTAGAAGGGGCCATGCATTTTTATTATATATGTGTTTTTTTTCATACAGATGATAGAAACAAAGAATGTACAGAATGAAGATGATTGCAATGAGACTCAGTGCCACTTCAGTATCCCAGTGCCCTCACTGAATTCTGAGTACTGCATTGCAGCAGAAGGAGTCACAGATGCATGGTCTGTTACAACAGAAAGGTCCAAAGAACTTTGTATTAACATTTCTGATCATAAGAGCACAGAAGGTAAGTTACTGCCATTTTTTCCCTAAATATAGGGCGTGATAACTAACACAGGGTAATGTGAAAAAAGGAAATTGGCAATTTCAGTAATTTCTGCTCTTGTAAAAATAGTTCCGTTCCTGAGAGAGGTTCACAATTACAAATAAGGCCATTTCTCAGGCATTAAAAGATACAAAACCACCAATTTGGAAAGCCATGTGATAACCTTTTTGTGCAGGAAAGAAATATACAATAAACACATAAAACTGTGTGCACAAATGTCTGCACCTCAGGATTATGCATAATAAAATGTCAGTTTATTTAATATAGCAAGATGATATATATTTATCAAAATATATATTCATATATGTTCTTTTTATGAGGACAGTTAAGTTTAAAAACTGAATAGCAGGAATGTTAATTGATTAAAATTTTGTGACGTGAACTGCACAAGCACTGGAAATTAATATTAAAAAATAAAATAAATATAGATTGTTTTAAAAAATGGATTAACATTTAAAAATAATTTTTAAAAATTTTATTGTTGAAAGTATTACAGGTGTCCCATTTTTCCCACCATTGACCCCTCCACTTCGCTCCCATCCCCTCTAGCCTTCACCCCGTTATTGACTGTGTCCATGGGTTATGCATATATGCATATAGCTTCTTTGGTTAATTTCTTCCCATCCTCCACCCCTCTTCCCTCTTTCCTCTGAAATATGATCATCTGTTGTATGCATCAGTGTCTCTGGATCTATTCAGTTCATCAAGTTCTTTTGTTCATTAGCTTCTTAAAGAAGACCCTTCAACATTTCCTGTAGTGCTAGTCTGGTGGTGATGAACTCCTTTAGCTTTTTCTTATCTGTGAAGCTCTTTATCTGACCTTCAATTCTAAATGATAGCTTTGCTGAGTAGAGCAATCTTGGTTGTAGGTTCTTGCTTTTCATCACTTTGAATATCTCTTGCCACTCCCTTCTGGCCTGCAAGGTTTCTGTTGAGAAATCAGCTGACAGTCGTATGGGTGCCCCCTTGTAGGTAACTAACTGCTTTTCTCTCGCTGCTTTTAAGATTCTCTCTGTCCTTAACCTTTGGCCTTTTAATTATGATGTGTCTTGCTGTGGGCCTCTTTGGGTTCCTCTTGTTGGGACCCTCTGTGCTTCCTGGACTTGTAAGTCTATTTCTTTCCCCAGGTAGGGGAATTTTTCTGTAATTATTTTTTCAAAGAGGTTTTCAATTTCTTGGTCTCTTTCTTCCCCTTCTGGCACTCCAACAATACGAATGTTGGGCCGCTTGAAGTGTCCCAGAGACTCCTTATAATATCTTCCTATTTCTGGATTCTTCTTTCTTTTTCCTCTTCTGGTTTGGTGTTTTTTGTTTCCTCATGTTCCAAATTGCTGATTTGATTCTCAGCGTCCTCTACTCTACTGTTGATTCCCTGTAAATTATTCATTTCTGTTCGTGTAGGCTTCATTTCTGATAGGTACTTTATTATGTCATTGATGATCTCACTACTTTCCTTAATAGCCTTACTAAGATCCTTGAGCATCCTTATAACCATAATTCTGAACTCTGTATCTAGTAGCTTTCTTGGCTCTATTTCATTTAGTTCCTTTTCTAGAGATTTTTTCTGTTCTTTCCTTTGTGACATGTTTCTTTGCCTCC